TAAGACCCCAGACGCTATACTTTTTGATAGCTGGGCACCATCAGCTTTCTTTGCCACATTTGCTTATGCACCCATTATCTTTCCAATTTTAAAAGGACTCCAACTCTTTCTAAATTTTATTATTTACCCTGTAAGTAATTTTATTACTTAACACAAAGTCATCCCATCCAGATATCCACCACAAAAACTTGACAAGAATAGTTAAGGCTTGTACATGATTATTTTTCACATTTATACACACAAGAGGGCTTCCAGAAATTGGTGGAGGAAATTGTAATAATACTCTTAACTCAATGTTTCCAGGTCCTTCCTGAAGTTCCCTCAAAAAACTATAGGTCTCCAACCTCTAGGTCAGCACCAAAGATTACTGCCTCCTGAGGTGCAGTGGTACAGTCGTCAGGTCTGTTAGCTAGAAGGTACGGGACTTAAACTAAGCAGCAGAGTGCTACAGGAGAAAGAGGTGGCAATTGGCTTCTTTAGAATTCGGTGGCCTTGGAAACCCTACAGGATAAGTCAACTATTTTCCTCCTGTCGGACCGGCTCCATGGTGACAGGCTGGGTTGGTGCTCACAGCCCCTGGAGCCCTCGCGCCTGCAGTGTATCAGGACGGCTCTAAAGCAGCAGTGGTACACAAGTGCTGACATTAGGTTACAGAAGACACTGCCGATTCCATCTTGGGTTCATCATTCTCTTATGGAGGAAGCCAAATCATGAGCAGCGATAGGAGACAAGCTCACGTGGTGAAGAACCAGAGCCTAGGCCGACGGCCACGTGAATGACCCTGGAAGCAGTTTCTCCAGCTCCAGGGGAAAGCCTGACTGCAAGCTCCGGAAAGACCAAGGGTCAGAACTCCCCGGTTCAGCTGCTCTCGGACTCCTGGCCTTCAGAAACGGTGTGAGATGGCGGGTTTATTTTACGTTGCTAAATTTTGGAGTGATTTTTAGAGCAGAAATAGACAACTAATACAAATGCCTAACCACATTGATAATAATTCACTGTTGTGGGCAAGCTAAGGTAGAGGAGGTTTTTACCATCAGAATGTGCTTTCTTAGGTGCAACCTTTAGCAGCTGTAGCTACCAAATGTATCCCACCTCCAAATCTCACCACCTTTTACTGTGCCAGTTAAAAAATAAGTCTTATAGGTCCCCTCCATTCCTGAAATAAGTACGACATACTCACCTCTTCATATATGCTTTTGCGGAACTCCAAGTCCTCAGTGAGGCTCTGACAGCGATTCTCCAAATCAACTTTAAGTAAGGTCTCATCCGCTAACTGTTTTTTGGCAGCAGCTAAGGAGGCTTCCAACTATAAACATGAAAAGTAGATTAAAAATTATACAGCAATCATTTGATAGTGAATTGAAGGCAGCAAGGAATTAAAGCAAGTTAACTATTACTATTTCTATACATTTATCAATGTTAAGGTGCCTTCCTTTAACCTTTATTAGAGAACTGTGTACATGGAATTGCTGGTTCAATTCACAGGGTACCACATCACATCAACTCAAATTTGATAATGGGCAACAGGGAATGAAAGAGACACCTAGGAGTCACCTGTCAAAATTCAAACCAGAGATTCTGGCTAACCACTTTCATTTCCCTCCATGTGCAGACAGCATTAGTGTATTCTCTTTCCCTGCCTCATGTTTTGTTAAAACAATGAACTATGTTTTGACACCAGGATAGAAAGAGAACAAACAAAAGAGGTGAATAGTCTAGATACGGTTAAAAAATGACAATGTAGCTACTATTAAACATATGTACAATTTAAAAAGTGACAATGCTGTCCATGTTAACTACCTCAAAGTCCCTCTTTTTGAAGGGTAAGACACAAAAACAAACAAGCAACCTACAAACAAAAAATATGGCTACAGACAGATGAGACAATAAACTTGCATGTACAGCTCTAGAGCTGCGTTTACCTCACCTGGGCAAGCTGATCCTTCAGATCTTCCAAGTCTCCCTCTAAACTCTTTTTGTCACCAAGTGCAGTAGCCAGAGCTGCATCTTTAGAATTCAGTGCTGCCTCATATTCTCGAAGCTTGATCTGTGCTCCACTAAGATCAGATTCTTTCTTTGCATAACTGTAATGCATTGGAAAAACACAAGATGTCAGATTATACTTTTGATTTTAGGCTTTCTCTCTCCCTGGTTAAGGTTTAAACAAAATGAGAGGCAGTTCAAATAAAGACTATTACAACCTACTCAAGTTAAATTTTTAAGTGCATAGCAACTTTCTCTTCTGATATCACATGTTTACTGCTATTGTCTCTGGGTCAAAGAACCCCAAAAGGATCTGGATGTGCTGGGTGCCATCTATTTGGCCTTTCTCATCATCTTTTTAAGTCCCACCAAATGAGTGTGTGTTAGTGTGCGTGAGAGAGACAGAGAGAAAGCTGTAAGAGAAACAGTGAGAGACAGTGCCTTAAGTGAGCAGGTGTGCAGTGTCTACAGGTACTTGGAGCTAGGTTTGCTAACAACACAGCAAATAGAGAGGTGAGCACCATCCAGCCAAGACTTACTGGCAGAGTGGGATGCATCTGGACACTTAGTAGAGTTAAACATCTTTTTAGCATTTAATTGAGCAAGGCAGAGGCTGAGCCGACACTAGAAGCCCAAAGGATTAGAAGCCAAAGACCAGGGAGAGGATTGCCTGTTGACATGGTCAGGAAGCTATCTTGACCCAAGAACTATATCCTAAATATTTAACTATATCCTTATTTAGTTTCCTAATAAGCCCTTAAATAATTTTAAGTACTGTCTACAGTTCTCTATGGCCAGTGCAACAAATAATTTAAGTAGAGAGAGTCTGGGAAGGACAGCTAGTGTCAGAATTAGTAAAAAGATTGCAAAATGAAGTAGGCCTGATCACTGCACTGCCAGGGTCAGGCTTGGGCTAATGCCGATTTTCTCTCCCCATCAGAACATACAAGGAGGCCAGTGGTACAGCACCACACTGTTACATGACCAGTGACCAGAATCCTCATTGTTTCTGGCTGTGGACACTTGTCCTTCCAGGTCTATGAAAATGATTTACATGTTTCACTGAGAAAATGTTACGGAAAATAATAACTTATGATTTTTAAATACAATGCATATTATAAATCAAAATGTAGTCTCGGTTTATGTAAACAAAGATAAAGTTAATTTTTAAAAAAACATTTTATTAGGGGCTCATACAACTGTTATCGCAATCCATACACACATCAATTGTGTAAAGCGCATTTGTACATCATTTTCAAAACATTTTCTCTCCACTTAAACCCCCGACATTAGTTCCTCATTTTTCCCCTCCCTCCTCACTCCCCTCTCCCTCATGAGCCCTTGATAGTTTATAAATTGGTATTTTGCCATATCTTGCCCTGTCCGACGTCTCCCTTCACCCACTTTTCGGTTAATTTTTAAAGTAATTATACAACTTAATGGTGTATCCTAGAGAAACTTTCATAAACTAGGTCTCAAACTCCATTTGGCATTACTGATAAGTTATTTCATAAGACCAAATAAAACCACTCTATATTTTGCAGGATCCCTCATCTGTCAGCTTGTGCTGTGGTGGCTTGTGTGTTGCTGTGCTGCTGGAAGCTATGTCACCAGCATTTCAAATGTCAGCAGGGTCACCCAAGGCTAACATGTTTCAGCAAAGCTTCCAGTTTACGAACAGACTATGAAGAAGGAATACACTGTCCACTTTTAAAGAATGTCACCTAAAAAAGTCTTATGAACAGCAGTCGAGCACTATCAAATATGAACTAAACCCACTGCAATCCCGTCGATATGAACTCATAGCAACTCCCTGTGGGTTTTCCAAGGCTGTATCTGTTTAGTAGAAAGCAGTGTTTTTCTCTCGGAGCGCCTGGTGGTTTTGAACTGCTGACCAGAATTGCAGCCCAATGTGTAACCAATCCACCAGCAAGTCTCCTCTATCAGAGACAGTGCTGGCGAATGAGCCCCTCTGGTTTGAAGGCACTCAAAATATGACTGAAGAGCTAGCTACCTCTTTGACCTGGATGACCTGGATGGCACACAGTTTTCAGGACCTCATGTGCCTCACAACACCTCATGTGCTGCAAACACCGGTTAATAATTGCAACCTATAATGTGTGAAGCATGCATGCAGGGAAGTTAGAATAATCATCAAATATGAAATGGAATGCCTAAAGATTGAAAGTGTATGCACTGATGAGCTTAGATGGACTGGTATTGACCATTTTGAATCAGAAAATCATATAGTTTATTATGCTGGGAATAACATTCAAAGAGAAATGGCATCATATTCATAGTCAAAAAGGACATTTCATGGTCCGTCTTCAAATACAATGCTGTGAGCAGTTAAAAACAATATGCCCTACAAGGAAGTCTACTTAATACAACTATTATTCAAATTTATACGCCAACCTCTAAAGCCAGTGATGAAAATAAAACGGAAGAGTTCTACCAACTTCTTCTGTCTGAAATTGATCAAACATGCCATCGAAGAGGAAGGAACAGGAGTTTGGAGAATAAGGCCTAAAGACAGAAAATGAAGCTGGAAATCACGTGATAGAATTTCAACATCCCAAATGGCAACTGTACACAGGGATCTGGACAAATGGAATGCAGAGATCAAGCTGACTGTAGATCAAGAGGCATGGAGAAGCTCACTATCACTAGCCAAAACAAGGCCAAGCCCAACTGTGGGGCAGACCGTAAGCTCCTCACATATAAGTTCAGTTTGAAGTTGAAGAAAATGAAAACAAGTCCACGAAGTTAGTAAAAGTACTAGGCTGAGGCTATCCCACCTGAGTGATGCCATCAAGAGCATCATGCGTGCAGAAAGGAAACGGTCATTCAAAAGATGGAGAGACGAAAGTATGTCAGAAGACACCCTGAAACTTGCTTTCGAATGTAGGGTAGCTACAGCACGTGGAAGAAATGATGAAGTAAATGAGGTGAATAGAACATTTCAAAGGGCAATTCAAGATAAAGTACTACAGAAAGAGCATGCTGAAAGAACTGAAGATAATTTTAAGCCCAGGGTTGCAGTATTGAAGGATTGTACGTCTGTTCCTTCCATCTCCTTTGGATGCTTCTTGCGTCATTCAGTATTTTGCGCAGCTCACTGCCATCGAGCTGAAGGCGGTGAGTGAGATGGGCAAAATACTGAATGATACAAGAAACATCCAAAGGAGACAGCAGGAATAAACGGAGTAAGTGTACCAAAAAGAACTGGCCAGCATTCAGTCGGTCAACAGCTGGCACATGATCAAAAGGCAATCACACTGAAACTCAGTGCAAGCAGCGCTGAAGGCACCAGCAGAAAGCAAAGCTCCAGGAGCTGATGGAATGCCACGAAATTGGCATGTTAATTTCTTACTCATCTTAATATTAAAAGCAACTACATCACAATAGTTTTCCTCTTAATGTTATAATTTTTAAAACCACATGGTGGCAGACTTTAACTGAACACTAGTTTGGGGGGTAGGAGATGGCCTATTTAAAAAAAAAACCACCCCAAACACGGAAAACTCATACAGCCATGTGACTAGTCCATACATGTGATGGCTCCTATAGCTGGGAGCTACACAGGATCAGAATATATGCTTGTGACGACGCCATTATTTTATACAACTTTCGGAGATTAAATGCTCAGCAGGTAAAGATGTGGCGACCCGCTTTCGTCAACAGTGCGGGGGTTGTTTGGTGCCCTCGAGTTGGCTCTGGCTCACAGTAACCCCCTGAATGAAACACTGCCTAGTCGGCCATCTTCACAACTGGTGTCGATCACATACAATGTTGCAGCCATAGTATCAATCGACCTCATTTAGGGTCTTGCTCTTTTTTTCCCTGACCGTCTACTTTACCAGGCATGTCTTTTTCTGATACTATGTGTCTAGTATTGTGTTAGTCTGGGTACTTCAGAGAAACAAATCCACAGA